GGCAAGAAACTCAAAGATATATTTACACCTAAGGATCAAAGATAATTTTTAACTTCCCTAGACTTCCACAGCTGTATTTTAAAACCAGTCACTACTTCAGACGTCCAAAGTTAGAGCTTACTAAGAATTCTTTTGATAGAAGTACTGCTTTTGCAATAATTTTCAAAATTTATCAATTCTCTACTCATGTTAACATCATATACTAAAATATAAGTATATTTATTTCCTTGCTCCTTCTATTAAATCAGATAAAAATAAATTTAACAATTAACTTTGCATAAAACTTTGCAAAGTAACTATCTGACATTTGCCAGAAGCTTTTTCATCTGTTGCACCTATGTCAATGTTCATATTTTTCTATATTCCTATTATGCTTAATGTATATTCTCCTTCAGTGTAATCAATGTAAAATATATTCTAGAAAGGTAGAAGACATACCTGTTTCAATTCACTATGAGCAATTTAAGCAAAGTAGTGAACTTAAATCAACCCAATAGTTTGATGACTATGACTGTCAGAATATCCATAAATCTTCACCTGAAAATGTTGAAATAACCTCAAACGTTGTTTCCAAAGTAGAAGCAACAGATGCTACTTTATCTGCAGCCAGTATGTAGAGGTCTCCCGAACTGGAACATTTCACAATAGCATACCTAACATAAAATTTTAGGAGAGAATTACTAATAATAAAAAAAGAAGAGCCACAGATAACATTTTAATTTTTTATATTATTTTAGAAAAACTAACTTCAAGATCAAAAAGTACTATTTTTAAAACACATTATACCTTACATTTCTGTTTTATTTTCCCAAAAAGCTACATATAAGGTCTTAAAAAGTATCATGTAAAGCTTAATCTACATGAACATAATAACTTCAGTTATAATTCACTTAATTTTAGGAGGATAATGAGAATAAATTCAAAATAATCTTAATGATGGAATGGATCTTATTTGTGGATAAAACAAAAATGAAAAAATATACCTACTTCGATTCTGGCATATAACAAACAGCCTGATTGGCTGGAATTGTCCAAGGCTGGGTGGTCCAGACTAAAAAACTAACAGAAGATGAACCATCTGTGAAAATGACGTTGTAAATATGTTAGCAATTTTATAGTTCCATAACTTTAATACACTGAAGCAATGAATAAATCTTACCTATAAGAGATGCCAACATAGGAGAAGGTTTCAAGAGAGGGAATTTTACATATATTGAATGACTGACATGCTCAGGATTATATTCAAGTTCTGCTTCAGCCAACGCAGTCCTAAGGTTTAAAAACAGTAAACATAAACATTTGGAAGCCTCACATATTTCTCTTCATTAAATAACAAAGCGCACACATATACCTTGAGGAGGGAGACCAAAACACAGGTTTGTAAGATCGATAAACCAAGCCCTATAAAAGACAAAGATATTAATATATAGTAAAGCTGGAATTTTGTATCACATATTTTAACACACTGAAAGGAAAAAAATACATTACCTTCTCATTCAATTGGTTCGTAATATCTTCGTATAGCATACATTATACGAAGTTATACGAAGGCAGGAAAGTTTAATGATGGAATGGATCTTATTTGTGGATAAAACAAAAATGAAAAAATATACCTACTTCGATTCTGGCATATAACAAACAGCCTGATTGGCTGGAATTGTCCAAGGCTGGGTGGTCCAGACTAAAAAACTAACAGAAGATGAACCATCTGTGAAAATGACGTTGTAAATATGTTAGCAATTTTATAGTTCCATAACTTTAATACACTGAAGCAATGAATAAATCTTACCTATAAGAGATGCCAACGTAGGAGAAGGTTTCAAGAGAGGGAATTTTACATATATTGAATGACTGACATGCTCAGGATTATATTCAAGTTCTGCTTCAGCCAACGCAGTCCTAAGGTTTAAAAACAGTAAACATAAACATTTGGAAGCCTCACATATTTCTCTTCATTAAATAACAAAGCGCACACATATACCTTGAGGAGGGAGACCAAAACACAGGTTTGTAAGATCGATAAACCAAGCCCTATAAAAGACAAAGATATTAATATATAGTAAAGCTGGAATTTTGTATCACATATTTTAACACACTGAAAGGAAAAAAATACATTACCTTCTCATACAATTGGTAAAAAATTCTCAACTGTTTGGCTTCATACTTTCCATCAAATGTATAGTAGCAATTATTCCAATCTGCCATTATTCCCCAACGAATAAATGCTGATTTCTGTTTCTCAATGGCTGCTTTAGCAAATGATCTAGCTAAAAAAAGAAAAGGAAAGAAAAAGCTTTTGAAAACCAAGGAACTCAAATTCTTTTTTGAACTTAAATTCTTAAACATGAGTTAGCATATATCTCTCTCAATGCAAGTGTTGTGCAGTTTAGACTAAAATTTTTTAAAAGGAAGATTACTTGAAGACTGTATTTATTACTGTCTTCTGTATTTTCCAGACTTTATACAATGACCTCACACTTAGAAAAAATAAACTGGAAAAATTATTCCCCATTATTTCTTTCTTTTTTTTTTTTTTAAAAGATGACCGGTAAGGGGATCTCAATCCTTGGCTTGGTGTTGTCAGCACCACGCTCAGCCAGTGAGCTAACTGGACATCCGTATATGGGATCCGAACCCGTGGCCTTGGTGTTATCAGCACTGCACTCTCCCGAGTGAGCCACGGGTTGGCCTCCCCATTATTTCTTAATTTAAGAAAAGATCAGAGAATAATTCTCATTTCATGATATATACAAAAAACCAATCAGTATGTTGAACCTAACCAATGATAATATGTTTCTCAAAAAAGTAAAAAATCTTCACAATCATATCCAAATGTACTATAATATAACACATAAGAAAAGAAAATTCCTCCCTGGCTCAGTCTACACAAGGAAAGGATTAAATAAGAGATTAATTTAAATATATGAATTTTAGAATTATATAAAATAAGAGATTAATTTAAATATATGAATTTTAGAATTATATAAAATAAGAGATTAATCTAAATATATGTATTTACTTTTATTTTAGAATTTACTGAAATGAGTCCAAAAGTCTTACCCAGGAAAGTAAAAAAAAAAATTGGCTAAAATAATAATTTCACAAAACATAACACTAAAGAACTGAAAAACGTAATTGGAAATGTTTACAAAGTCTTTCCTTCAATCTCTAAATATAAGTTGTCAAAAAAAATCAATTAAACAAAATCTGCATTTTCTGTGACACTATGTGTTCTCCAGCAGATCTCATTATAAACAAAATAAAAGGCCGCGTTGATAAAGCCCTGACTTTTCCAAGGAATCTAAGTGTTTACAAATACCATTTTAAAACAGA